TGCACGCTCCCTCAAAACTTGAGACATCTGTGGCATTGTGTTGTGTGACAAAACTGCACATTTTAGAGTGGCCTTTTATTGTCCCCAGCACAAGGCGCACCAGTGTAATGATCATGCTGTTTAATCAGCTTATTGATATGCCACACCTGTCAGGTGGGTGGATTATCTTGGCAAAGGACAAATGCTCACTAACAGGGATGTAAACAAATTTGTGCACAAAATTTGAGAGAAAATACGTTTTCTGTGTGTATGAAATATGTATGGGGATCTTTTATTTCAACTCATGGAACATCAGACCAACACTTTACATGTTGCGTTTATATTTTTGTTCAGCATACTTTCTTTATCCATATGTTCAGATCCTTCTGACTCATTATTACTGATAATAATGGCACTCAAAACCGTATGACACCAGTGCCACTCAGTCTCCATTGCTATATTGTGTGGGAGGCAAAATAGTTATAATGGCCCTCTGATGATGGCACTGACGAACTATTGCAACTATGGGCTGGCTATGGCCCTAGTACTGCAGAGAAGTATCAATACTGTGACTGCTGTATGGCTCAGTTCCACTGAATTAATTGACATTCTGTACATTATTAGGGTATCGTGCTTCTCACGTATACATGTATTATGTATTACATCTGCAAACTTGTTTGAAACCATAATGAAAGTGAAAGCAACAGTTTGGATTCCAGGCACAGCCATGCATACAGAATACAAACACAGAGCAAATGGTACTGTACTTGATGTAGCAACGTGCATTATTGATTGATTGATTTCAGTGTGTGTCACACACACACATGCCCATTAGCCTTATTTGACAACAATCCTCTTACTTCTTTGCAGTGTAGAATTTACTAATTGAGCTGATTGGTGAAATGGAGCAATGCACAGTCACCACTGCTGTAGGCCAATAAAGTTGAGGCAGGTGTGACACCATGTGGACAATGAAGGTAGTTGCAAGTTCTGGGCTCTACTTTACTTCATAGATGCCTCCTTCTATTCTAACAGACAGAGAGAGGGTGAGTGCTTGGTTTCCACCATATTGCCTTTATTTAACTGATAGTGTTAGTTCACTGATAACCTTAAAGAGGCAATCTGCATTTGCTACATCCATTTTGGGACTTTGAAATTAATGATATGTACCCATTGATTCTAGAAGAATATAACAGTATGAGCTTAGTTCAACTGTTGTATTCCATCAGAAACCAAAATATAAGCTTGTCTTATCCCAATGTTTGTAAGCAAAGCAAATGTAAACAAACAGTATATAGCCTCAAAACATGGTTAAAACTATAATTTTGATAACATGGATGGTAAGTCCTTACAAGCACAGCTCTGTCTATTAATTTTAAGTTGTTACATTTCTCCAGCCCCATCCCTCAGCTTTTTACTGAAACAGGGGCAGCGAGGACGCTTTCTTATTGTTTCAAATGCTGATTGCCGCTTTAAAGGCCAAGTGCAATCAAAAACGTGATTAGCCTGTTTTATATATATTTCCATACTATGAGGTTCGAATAATACTGTGAAATTGTGAAAATTATGATAATGCCCTTTTAGTGTAAGAGCAGTTTGAAAAGACCGCCTAGATTTCAGCCTGTTTTTGTGGGAAGGAGTTGTGGCCTGCCTGGTGACATCACCAGGCGGTAAATTAGTTAATAGACCAATAACAAAGAGCGTTTCAAACCCTGCTGCCAATAACAGCTAGATTTTCAATTTCCCCCTCGCCACTCAGACCACTCCCAGACAGTCTTCGCAAAATTCTTGCTTGAGAAATGTTTGTTTCTTTTTGACCATTTAAATTTAAAACAATCACAGTAAGGTACTTAATTGTTACCCAGAAATGATTTGATATTGAGATACAAACGGCCGTATTGGACTTTTAAAGAAGTAGCCTTGCTTCCTCCCACTACTTTCTGAAAGCATGATTTGCTGAACTATCACATACACTCTGTAACGTATATGCTAGGAGTCAGGAAGCAGCTGCAGAAGGTGAGTTTAATAATGAGAATAAGCAGATAAACAAAACAGGAGAAGTGTACTGAATGTGAACAAAACCAATACTGCCTGAAGACTGAGGCTACTGAGGGCTAAATAAAGGGGAAGTAATCAAGGTAATGATGAAGTCCAAGTGTGCATTACAATGGGGTGCAGGTGTGCTTAATGATGGTTGCCAGGTGTGCGTAATGTGGGTTGCCAGGACCGGTGGTTAGTAGACCGGCAAAGTCGAGCGCCGGAGAGAGGGAACGGGAGTAGGCGTGACACACTCAACGGACAGTTTATTAGGTACACACATCTAGTACCGGGTTGGACCCCTCTGCCTCCAGAACAGCCTGAATTCTTTGGGCATTCTACAAGGTGTCTGAAATGTTCCACAGGGATGTTGGTCCATCCTGGTGCGATGGCATCACGCAGTTGCTGCAGATTGGACAGCAGTACATTCATGCTGCGAACAGCCCGTTCCATCTCATCCCAAATATGCTCTATTAGGTTGAGGTCTGGGGACTGCGCAGGTCACTTAAGTAAACTGAACTCGCTGTCATGTCCCAGGTGATGTTTTTCCACTCTTCAATTGTCCAATGTTGGTGATCACATACCCACTTGAGTCACTTCTTCTTGTTTTTAGCTGATAGGAGTGGAACCCGGTGTGATCTTCTGCTGCAATAGCCCACCCGTGACAAGGATCGACGAGTTGTGCGTTCGAGGTGCCGTTCTGCACACCACTGTTGGATGCGCCATTACTTGCTTGTTTGTGGCCCGCCTGTTACCTTGCACGATTCTTGCCATTCTCGAACAGCCCGTTCCATCTCATCCCAAATATGCTCTACACGATTCTTGCCATTCTGCGAACAGCCCGTTCCATCTCATCCCAAATATGCTCTATTAGGTTGAGGTCTGGGGACTGCGCAGGTCACTTAAGTAAACTGAACTCGCTGTCATGTCCCAGGTGATGTTTTTCCACTCGCCATTACTTGCTTGTTTGTGGCCCGCCTGTTAGCTTGCACGATTCTTGCCATTCTCGAACAGCCCGTTCCATCTCATCCCAAATATGCTCTACACGATTCTTGCCATTCTGCGAACAGCCCGTTCCATCTCATCCCAAATATGCTCTATTAGGTTGAGGTCTGGGGACTGCGCAGGTCACTTAAGTAAACTGAACTCGCTGTCATGTCCCAGGTGATGTTTTTCCACTCTTCAATTGTCCAATGTTGGTGATCACATACCCACTTGAGTCACTTCTTCTTGTTTTTAGCTGATAGGAGTGGAACCCGGTGTGATCGTCTGCTGCAATAGCCCACCCGTGACAAGGATCGACGAGTTGTGCGTTCGAGGTGCCGTTCTGCACACCACTGTTGGATGCGCCATTACTTGCTTGTTTGTGGCCCGCCTGTTAGCTTGCACGATTCTTGCCATTCTCCTTCGACCTCTCTCATCAATTAGCTGGTTTCGCCCACAGGACTTTCGCTGACTGGATGTTTTTTGTTTGTCGCACCATTCTCTGTAAACCCTTTTAGTGTAAGAGCACTTTTGTGCGTGAAAAGCCCAGGAGGGAGGACGTTTCTGAGATATTGGATCCGGCGCGCCTGGCAACAACGATCATACCATGCTCAAAGTCTCTTAGGTCACTTGTTTTGCCCATTCTAACATTCAATTGAACAGTAACTGAATGCCTCAATGCCTGTTTGCCAGCTTTATATAGCAAGCCACGACCATGTGACTCACTGTCTATAGTAGCGATCAATTTTCATGAATGGGGTAGTGTACCCAAAACTGTCCGGTGAGTGTATGTTCAAACATTATTACATTTGAAATGAAAATGCAAATATCCATTTAAAATCCATGAATGCATCTTTATTGTTTTCACAAAATAAATGCCTTGACGTTAGTCACGTAATCTAATTATGTCGTCATCAATCTCCTCACCTGTTATTGTAGTCTGTGTGAGTGGACTCCACTCAATACACAGGGCGGGGCAGAGGGCAACAAAGCAAAGTTGAACCACAGATAATCAGGTGCAGTAGTAGGGTAGGGTAGGGCGCTATGCAATAGCAACATAGATTGCAGACAGAGGCAGGTGCAAAATCCATGAAATTGAAATACCAGATTATAATTGTTCTGTGATAAATCCTTTATAATGCCTTGTTTTATGGGACATATTGGCTACCTCATTCCATTTTCCACAGATAGGGAGGATAGGTTGGGTAGCTCCCCTAGGCAGTAGCTCATACTGCCTGAGCTGAGTTCCCTCTTGCAGTTGCTTCTTCCATGCACTCATCCCTGCCTTTGGGTTATCACAATTGGCACATCATTTCTCGTATTAGGCAGAAAGAAGGGGACTTTCCTGTTACCGTCAGTCCCCACCCCCTCACCATATCTCTCTTTCTCCCCCTCCCTTTCTCAGCAGTGGCTCACCTCACCTTGTTCCCATGGCAATGTTGAGCTCAGGCAATCCTAATATCTGAGACCTAGTGAAGAGTGCACGAAATCCCTGAGTAAAACCGGTTCTGCCTGCTGAGACAAAAGATTGACATACAGAAAGTTAGAAGGAGAGGAGTGACAAATAAACTACCTGTTGTGCCATTCATCTTACACCAAAAACACCTTTAGAATGACTAATCTATGTCTATTGACACTTATGAAAGATTAGTTTGGCATAGGAAAATGATGAGTAACTTACTCCACAACAAAGTCTGAAAGGATGTCTATACGTCCCTGACAGATAGGGAAGGGACTTTTTCCATTCACTTTATACATTTAAAATTCTCATGGGACTGTGGCAGGCTGATAGAGGGATATTGGCCCTCCTGTAGCTCAGTTGGTAGAGTATGGTGCTTGCAACACAAGGGTTGTGGGTTCGATTCCCACGGGGGGCCAGTATGAAAAATGTATGCACTCACTAATTGTAAGTCGCTCTGGATAAGAGTGTCTGCTAAGTGACTAAAATGTCAATTGGATAACACACAAAAAAAAAAAAAAAAAAAAAATGAACCTCAGTCGAAACTTTATCTGCAGTGAGGTAGTCCATGTCACTCAAGGCGCATTCCATTGACTGAGAGGTGTTTTCACCAAACGACATACCCTGCATATTCTACCGAACACGTAGTAGACTTAAACAAGGATCTGCTTATGTTTGAGACTAAATGTTATTGAAACTGGGAAATACTCTGCTGTGCTTCAACGAAACGATCGTACAGTTAAACAAAATATTATAGGAACACTGGGAGAATGGATCGCGCACAACGAAAGTCTGATGTATCTGCTTTACAATGGGTGTGACATCTTGAAGGTAAATCATTTTTGATTAAAAAAAATACTACTTATTTGTTTTTAATAACTTCTTTGTTTGTTCGTGACCGGAATTGTCATAGGTTTTCTGACAGGAAAGTCCCCTAATTGGGATTTAATTACCATAATAAAAAAGGCTATCAAAAAGTTGAGTAAAATAATTCTGTGTCACCCATTTCTGTTTTTGACACTCATTTGGGTTTCAATGATATAAAGACCAGCAAAATGTGTCGGTGCAATTATTGCACATTATGCAATGATCGCGTTTTTGATTCTGAAAAACATAAAAAATACCTACTTTAAAAACATAGGCTAGTTATAAAAAAACGTTCTGAGAATTACAGTATTGCTAAGCATGAGAAGTATATTATACTAATTTATAAACAATTCTCCTACCTATTTTAGTGAGTTCGACATGGCGTGCTGGAAATGGTGCCGTCGGACCTGCGTTTGTTGCCTGGACGATGAAGAGAGGAGGACCATCGCTATTGACAAGGAGATTCAGAGGATTCTCCGACAGCAGAAGAAGAGAGAACGCAAAGAAATCAAAGTTCTTTTACTCGGTCAGTAGCTCCATCTTCTCTCTTCCGACTTGAAATACATTAGGCTATGTTTATTATAGCATATACACAAGGGCCATTGTTCATTGCTGCCATTACAAAAAAAGGGTTTTCTTCCTTCACTCTTAGGTTTAATAACGTATTGTTATTGAATAACGACAGACCAAAAGCCATATGAAATGTAAGCCTTCTGAAAGTGTCCAGAATGGGCAATGACTTCGACTTTTCATCCATTTAAACCAACAATGAGAACAAAAAAATGATTCATTCAACAAAAACAAAGATCTTTGAGAAAGAGGCAAAGCCAAAAAAAAACATTCATATTTTGAGAAACATGCAATGCCATTTATTATTTGAGGACACCTGGACTGGGAGTGTAAAATAAACTTAGTGGGTGAGGAATGCATGAGGTATACACCTCTCTAAGTCTAGGGCCTATTTTATGTAATTACTAAGGAAAGACAAATATGTTAAGCATGTGTTGACATGTTAACATTTGAAGAATGAGAGAGATGGGGTCATGAAATACTTACAAAGTAGGCTACTCTGTGAAATAAAAATGTTTTGAGATTTTTGGTTCCAATGGATGATCTCTGTATGTGTAGTTCCCACCGTAAAGCATACAGGAGGAGGTGTTATGGTGTGGGGATGCTTTGCTGGTGACACTGTCTGTGAATTCAAGGCACACTTAACCAGCATGGCTACCACAGCATTCTGCAGTGATACGCCATCCCATCTGGTTTGGGCTTAGTGGGACTATCTTTTGTTTTTCAACACGACAATGACCCAACACACCTCCAGGCTGTGTAAGGGATATTTTACCAAGAAGGAGAGTGATGGAGTGCTGCATCAGATGACCTGGCCTCAACCCAATTGAGATGGTTTGGGATGAGAAGGACGGCAGAGTGAAGGAAAAGTGTGCTCAGCATATGTGGGAACTCCTTTAAGACTGTTGGAAAAGCATTCCAGGTGAAGCTGTTTGAGAGAATGCCAAGAGTGTGCAAAGCTGTCATCAAGGCAAAGGGTGGCTATTTGATTTATTTAACACTTGTTACTATGTTACATGATTCCATATGTGTTATTTCATAGTTTTGATGTCTTCACTATTATTCTACAATGTAGAAAATTGTAAAAATATAGAAAAACCCTTGAATGAGTAGGTGTGTCCAAACTTTTGACTGGTACTGTAGCTCAGCTTGGATGTCGGCCCACCACCTCAAGCTCATCCTCGACAAGACGGAGCTGCTCTTCCTCCCAGGAGTAGATGTGTCATAACCAATTAATTACAATAAACTATCATCCTGACTTGACAGTGGCAAACCTGTCAACTTCCTGAAAGCTTTACGTTATGGTTAACTATGCATTACTCTCAGGCTTCTACCTGAGGACTGTATCCTCTAATAGCAGGTTTGTCACTAGGCAGATGGCTGGTATCGCTTGAAAGCATGTGTGAGGTTTTGATGAGTTGCCGAATGCGAATGTTAATTGTGTAATGATGTCTCTGACTCTTCAGCGGATCAACACTTATTGTAACATTGCATTGTTTAATAAAAATTAAAAAAACATCCTTTGAGAAGTCTTCTCCTTTCTGACTCTCCTCTGGGCTATGTGTCCTCAGGCACAGGGGAGAGTGGGAAAACCACCTTCATCAGACAGATGAGGATCATCCATGGAAGTGGCTTCTCTGAGGAGGAAAGACGGGACTTCACCAAGCTCATCTACCAGAACATCTTCACGGCTGTGAAAGCTATGACCCAGGCCATGACCACCCTCAGACTGCCCTATGCCTACCCAGAGAATGAGGTCAGGGTCTGGTGGCATACCGTACATACTGTTCAATCAAACTGACCTTTAACCATTAGTGAAAGGCACCCTCTGTAGCATCTATTTACAAAACACATTATACACAAAACACATTATACACATGCTGTTTCTGTGTTTTTGATTTGAGAGGCTTTCACTGATTTTTCTTTGACGCCTGTGGATCAGACATTAAAACCAATTAAAGCCCCTCTATCTACCCTCAGATGAATGCCAGGTGTGTGCAGGATGTGGACACAGTGCAGGTCACCCAGCTGGACCGTGGCTATGTGGACGCCATCTGCCGTCTCTGGGCCGACCCAGGCCTCCGTGTCTGCTACAGCCGCCGCAGCGAGTATCAGCTGCTGGACTCCACAGAGTAGTGAGTTCTCTCTCTCTCTCTCTCTCGTCCTCTCCCTCTCCCTCATCTCGCTCTCTCTCTCTCTCTCACGCTTTGCCCTCCTCCGTCTCTCTCTCTCTCTCTCTCGTCATCTCTCCTTCCTCTTCTCTCCCTCTCTTCTCCTCCTCCCTCCGTCTCTCTCTCTCTCTCTCTGTCTGTCCTGTTTCTGTCTGTCTCTCTCTGTCTCTTTGTCTCTGGCTCTCTCTCTGTCTGTTTGTGTGTGTGTGGGACATATTTACTAAGCATTTGCAAAGATTGCACCTGTTTTTTCAGTAGATGTTTTTTGCTTCCTTGGTAAAATGTAAGTATGTAAATATAAACTTGTATACTTGAATAATCAAAAACAATTAAATATAAATGTAAGTTTCATTTACAACACAGTGTCCTTCATTGTATACTGTCCTTATCAACTGCAGAATCCATAATGTCCATTGGAGGGGGCTAGTTGACAAATAAATACACATCAAGATCTCAGCCATGTTGAAATGACATTTCCACAAACAACCATCTTGTCAGGCACCATTCATTTGATTTCATGTTATAAAATACACAGCCACAATGCAGATTGTTTCTCACTCTCCACCCATTCTTGAAAGCTACCCGATAGTAAAGTTTAGTTTCCTTTTAGAATGAATTTGCTAATTAAGTTGAAATGGAATACATTGATACAGACAAAGTCAACAAGTTGACATCAGAGTAGCTAATGCATCACATTATGAGAAAATGAATGGAAAGGACTCATCTCAATCACTGCAATACTGTTGGACTGCCATGTGTTCCTGACGTATCTGTCCGTACCTGTCCTCTCTCTCCTTCTCTCTGATCTCTCAGTATTTACTCAGCTAGCTCTGCGTCATTATAGCAGCATAATAAGAAACATGCACATAGTCAGTCAACATCCAATTAATGACAGGGTGTATCAACAAAAGCCATGAAAACAATCATCCCAACACAGTGGTAAAGACTCCATGTCCCTTTGTCTAATTTCCAAGCTCAATTCGAAACTAAATTTGTGTTGATTGTTGTTGTATACAGTTAATATTACATGTCTCATGTACAGAACATGACAGATAGAATGAACTTGCGACCACCATTGTCATTACCACGGGAAATATAATTATATCACATTTTTCTCTCACTCTCTCTTTTTCTCTCACTGTTTTTTGCTCTCTCTTTTTACCTCTCTCTCTCTTTCTGTCTTTCTGTCCTTTTCAGTTACATGACCAATCTGGACCGCATATCTGCCCCAGACTACATCCCCACAGCTCAGGATGTGCTGCGGGTTCGATTCCCCACCACCGGCATCCATGACTACTCCTTCACCGTGAAGACCATCACACTCAGGTGGCCACACTCTCACTCATATCACTCAGATCACTCACCCTGGACTCACCCAGATGTCAAGGGAACTAATGGAACACCATAGCTGCTGATGAAATTGTGGACTACATAGAGCTGGGAAATATAGACAAAAAGTCATATGACGATATATTGACCCATTTTGCTCAATAATGATAAATCCAATGGTAAATATATACAGTGCATTCAGAAAGTATTCAGACCCCTTGACTTTTTCCACATTTTGTTACGTTACAGCCTTATTCTAAAATGGATTAAATTGTTTTTTCCCACATCAATCTACACACAATACCCCATAAAGACAAAGCAAAAACAGGTTTTTAGACATGTTTGCAAATGTATATATATCTTTTTTTTAAATCACATTTACATAAGTATTCAGACCCTTTACTCAGTACTTTGTTGAAGCACCTTTGGCAGCGATTACAGCCTTGAGTCTTCTTGGGTATGACGCTACAAGCTTGGCACACCTATATTTGGGGAGTTTCTCCTGTTCTTCTCTGCAGATCCTCTGAAGCTCTTTCAGGTTGGATGGGGAGCATCGCTGCACAGCTATTTTCAGGTCTCTCCAGTGATTTTCAGGTCTCTCTTCAGCTCTCTCCTCGTCTGACCATGTGTTCTCGCATACCCCAAGAGCATCTGGTCAGCAGGGTGGTGGCACAGGAATCCTCATCTCTCCCAAGTGGACATTCTCTCTTTTTCCCCTGACCCATCTGTCTATCGCCTCATTTGAATTCCATGCTGTCACAGTCACTAGCCCATTCAAGCTTAACATCCTTGTCATTTATAGCCCTCCATGAACTCTCCCTTGGAGAGTTCATCAATGAGCTTGACGCCTTGATAAGTTCCTTTCCTGAGGATGGCTCACCCCTCACAGTTCTGGGTGACTTTAACCTCCCTACGTCTACCTTTGACTCATTTCTCTCTGCCTCCTTCTTTCCACTCCTCTCCTCTTTTGACCTCACCCTCTCACCGTCCCCCCCTACTCACAAGGCAGGCAATACGCTTGACCTCATCTTTACTAGATGCTGTTCTTCTACTAATCTCACTGCAACTCCCCTCCATGTCTCCAACCACTACTTTGTATCCTTTTCTCTCTCGCTCTCCTCCAACACTACTCACTCTGCCCCTACTCAGATGGTAATGCGCCGTCACAACCTTCGCTCTCTCCCGCTACTCTCTCCTCTTCCATCCTATCATCTCTTCCCTCTGCTCAATCCTTCTCCCTCCAATCTCCTGATTCTGCCTCCTCAACCCTCCTCTCCTCCCTTTCTGCATCCTTTGACTCTCTATGTCCCCTATCCTCCCGGCCGGCTCGGTCCTCCCCTCCTGCTCCGTGGCTTGACGACGCATTGCGAGCTCACAGAACAGGGCTCCGGGCAGCCGAGCGGAAATGGAGGAAAACTAGACTCCCTGCGGACCTGGCATCTTTTCACTCCCTCCTCTCTACATTTTCTTCCTCTGTTTCTGCTGCTAAAGCCACTTTCTACCACTCTAAATTCCAAGCATCTGCCTCTAACCCTAGGAAGCTCTTTGCCACCTTCTCCTCCCTGCTGAATCCTCCTCCTCCTCCTCCTCCCTCCTCCCTCTCTGTGGATGACTTCGTCAACCATTTTGAAAAGAAGGTTGACGACATCCGATCCTCGTTTGTTAAGTCAAATGACACTGCTGGTCCTGCTCACACTGCCCTACCCTATGCTTTGACTTCTTTCTCCCCTCTCTCTCCAGATGAAATCTTGCGACTTGTGACGGCCGGCCGCCCAACAACCTGCCCGCTTGACCCTATCCCCTCCTCTCTTCTCCAGACCATCTCCGTTGACCTTCTCCCTTACCTCACCTCGCTCATCAACTCATCCTTGACCACTGGCTATGTCCCTTCCGTCTTCAAGAGAGCGAGAGTTGCACCCCTTCTCAAAAAACCTACACTCGATCCCTCCGATGTCAACAACTACAGACCAGTATCCCTTCTTTCTTTTCTCTCCAAAACTCTTGAGCGTGCCGTCTTTAGCCAACTCTCTTGCTATCTCTCTCAGAATGACCTTCTTGATCCAAACCAGTCAGGTTTCAAGACTGGTCATTCAACTGAGACTGCTCTTCTCTGTGTCACGGAGGCTCTCCGCACTGCTAAAGCTAACTCTCTCTCCTCTGTTCTTGTCCTTCTAGACCTGTCTGCTGCCTTTGATACTGTTAACCATCAGATCCTCCTCTCCACCCTCTCCGAGTTGGGCATCTCTGGCGCGGCTCACTCTTGGATTGCGTCCTACCTGACCGGTCGCTCCTACCAATTGGCGTGGCGAGAATCTGTCTCCGCACCACGTGCTCTCACCACTGGTGTCCCCCAGGGCTCAGTTCTAGGCCCTCTCCTATTCTCTCTATACACCAAGTCACTTGGCTCTGTCATATCCTCACATGGCCTCTGCTATCATTGCTACGCAGACGACACACAACTAATTTTCTCCTTTTCCCCCTTCTGATAACCAGGTGGCAAATCGCATCTCTGCATGTCTGGCAGACATATCAGTGTGGATGATGGATCACCACCTCAAGCTGAACCTCGGCAAGACGGAGCTGCTCTTCCTCCCGGGGAAGGACTGCCCGTTCCATGATCTCGCCATCATGGTTGACAACTCCGTTGTGTCCTCCTCCCAGAGTGCAAAGAGCCTTGGCGTGACCCTGGACAACACCCTGTCGTTCTCCGCTAACATCAAGGCGGTGACCCGATCCTGTAGGTTCATGCTCTACAACATTCGGAGAGTACGACCCTGCCTTACACAGGAAGCGGCACAGGTCCTAATCCAGGCACTTGTCATCTCCCGTCTGGATTACTGCAACTCGCTGTTGGCTGGACTCCCTGCCTGTGCAATTAAACCCCTACAACTCATCCAGAATGCCGCAGCCCGTCTGGTGTTCAACCTTCCCAAGTTCTCTCACGTCACCCCGCTCCTCCGCACACTCCACTGGCTTCCAGTTGAAGCTCGCATCTGCTACAAGACCATGGTGCTTGCCTACGGAGCTATGAGGGGAACGGCACCTCCGTACCTTCAGGCTCTGATCAGTCCCTACACCCAAACGAGGGCATTGCGTTCATCCACCTCTGGCCTGTTGGCCCCCCTACCTCTGCGGAAGCACAGTTCCTGCTCAGCCCAGTCAAAACTGTTCGCTGCTCTGGCACCCCAATGGTGGAACAAGCTCCCTCACGACGCCAGGACAGCGGAGTCACTCACCACCTTCCGGAGACACTTGAAACCCCACCTCTTTAAGGAATACCTGGGATAGGATCAAGTAATCCTTCTACCCCCCCTTACCCCACCCCCAAAACATTAAAAATAAATAAAATAAAAATAAACATATTGTCAAGTGGTTATCCCACTGGCTATAAGGTGAATGCACCAATTTGTAAGTCACTCTGGATAAGAGCGTCTGCTAAATGACGTAAATGTAAAAATGTAAATGTGATGTTCGATCGGGTTCAAGTCCAGGCTCTGGCTGGGCCACTCAAGGACATTCAGAGACTTGTCCCGAAGCCACTCCTGCGTTGTCTTGGCTGTGTGCTTAGGGTCATTGTCCTGTTGGAAGGTGAACCTCTGGAGCAGGTTTTCATCAAGGATCTCTCTGTACTTTGCTCCGTTCATCTTTCCCTCGATCCTGACTAGTCTTCCAGTCCCTGCCGCTGAAAAACATCCCCACAGCATGATGCTGCCACCACCATGCTTCACCGTAGGGATGGTGCCAGGTTTCCTCCAGACGTGACACTTGGCATTCAGGCCAAAGAGTTCAATCTTGGTTTCATCAGACCAGAGACTCTTGTTTCTCATGGTCTGAGAGTCCTTTAGATGCCTTTTGGCAAACTCCAAGCGGGCTGTCGTGCCTTTTACTGAGGAGTGGCTTCCATCTGGCCACTCTACCATAAAGGCCTGATTGGTGGAGTGCTGCAGAGATGGTTGTCCTTCTGGAAGGTTCTCCCATCTCGACAGAGGAACTCTGGAGCTCTGTCAGAGTGACCATCGGGTTCTTGGTCACCTCCCTGACCAAGACCCTTCTCCCCTGATTGCTCAGTTTGGCTGGGCGGCCAGCTCTAGGAATGAGTCTTGGTGGTTCCAAACTACTTCCATTTAAGAATGATGTAGGCCACTGTGTTCTTGGGGACCTTCAATGCTGCATACATTTTTTGGTACCCTTCCCCAGATCTGTGCCTCGACACAATCCTGTCTCGGAGCTCTATGGACAATTCCTTCGACCTCATGACTTGGTTTTTTCTCTGACATGCACTGTCAACTGTGGAACGTTATATAGACAGGTGTGTGCCTTTCCAAATCATGTCCAATCGAATTGAATTTACCACAGGTGGACTCCAATCAATGTTGTAGAAACATCTCAAGGATGATCAATGGAAACAGGATGCACCGGAGCTCAATTTCGAGTCTCATAGCATAGGTGCTGAATACTTATGCAAATAAGGTATTTCCGTTTTTGTTATTTTTTATGCAAAACATTTCTAAACACCTGTTTTCACTTTATTATGGGGTATTGTCTGTAGATTAATTAGGATTTTTAAAATGTTATCAATTTTAGAACAAGGCTGTAACATAACAAAATGTGGAAAAAGTGAAGGTGCCTGAATACTTTCCGAATGCACTGTAAATAGATATTTTTTTAATGCACAGTTACTTTCCATAAGTTGCATGGCTCTAGACTTACCACTAAGAAGTAAGAAAATAAAGAAGTTTTCTATTTTATCTAACATGTTCCGGGAATGCATGGTTGCTATTCTGATGTGCAACATGTCAAAATAGCATCCAGAATGATGCGATTTGCTTGCATCTTTTTAGTGCATATTGGCCTATAGGCTATAGCCTATTCTACATAATTAACCACCTGATGAAGTGGGAACTCAAAACACCTTAGCTAAATAGCTAATTCTGAATACGAAATTGTTGCTAGCCTTGTAATTGATGTAGCCTTTATAGGCTACTTGATCTATTCACTGCCACAAATGCAGCATATTCCGTTTGTAAAGTGCTATAATTTCCTCAATATTGAGAGTTGAGAAATAATTGTTATACTCACAGAAAGCGAAGTCTCTCCTCTATTTAACTACATTTAATGTAGTTGTTTTAAAAACAGTGTTTTCCCCCGCAACTACATTGAAATGTTGCTCAACAGTCATATATGCATGTGCTTATCAGAATGCATCTCTCCCTTCACTCTGTGTGCAAAGAGGGGAGTGGAACTGAGAGCCGGCATCGGCAGATAGGGACAGGGCAGATACTTTCATTGCAGGAAGCAGATTAATGCACATTACTGTTTGCCAAATAATGGTTTGAGATCCAAAAAATCTGCAGGAACATTGTATAGCCTAATCACCGAAAATGACGACATAAGCAAGATTGCTTCAGTAAGAGGTGGGCAATGTCGGTGATGGTAATTTTTCGGTTTATCGTCCCAAGTCTAGGACTAGACTATAGGCTCGCTGGCAGAGATATTGTCTGACTCTACCCTAGGCTGCTTTGGACACAGTGGAATTACAATCACATACAATCACTGAGAACTCACTCATTTCTTTTTGTGCCTTTGAACATGTCCATGCAATTGTTTTTTAGGAGACCTTCATATTATTAACATGAAAGGTCCAGCTATCTCCAGGTGTGGTGTTTTTCACTTCCTCTGTTGTGAAAGGTTAGACTGTAATTTGTCTCTGTAATCAGGCAGGCAGGATACAGTGGGATAGAAATGGTAAGGTATCAATTATGGCCTTTTTATAGCCAAATGCTCTTTGAGACTCATTTGCATGAGGACTTGGAAACTGAAACAGGTTTGATATGTGACAGCAGGAGAGAGAAGAGAGGAGTCTCGGTATACACAGGGGGATATGGCAGCCTCTCTCACAGTGTTAGCTACACCTCTATAGAGTACAGACACTCCTAACACTTTAACAACTCTGACCAGCTGCCTCGCCAAGACAAGGCCCCTGCCATGCGTGGCATCACAAACACCTTATTGATAAAAGGGCACAACAGTGTTTGTGTGTGAGATGAAAGATGCTCTAACAGGTGTTTTATCATTTTCTCTCTCTGTCTCTGCCTCTCTCTCTCTCTCTCTCTCCGGGTAGGATTGTGGATGTGGGTGGACAGAAGTCAGAGAGGAGAAAGTGGATCCATTGTTTTCAGGATGTGACGTCCCTCATTTTCCTGGCTTCCCTCAGCGAGTACGACCAGGTCCTGGAGGAGAAAGAGACTGATGTGAGCACCTGTCTGTCTGTATCTGTCGGGCTGACTGGCTTGTCTGTCTGTCTGTCTGTCTGTCTGTCTGGCTTGTCTGGCTGTTTGTCTGTCTAGCTTGTCTGTCTGGCCTGTCTGTCTGTCTTTCAGTCAAGTCAGTCAAACAGTCAGTCAGTCTATCTGTCTGTCCGTGTGTGACGTCCTTGGCCTTCAATGTAAGTCAAGGTTTTTCTCTCCAGAGGTTTTTCTGGCCATGGCCAACAGGTCTTACTGTTGCCTATCAAAACCTGCTGCCTTACCGCAATCTCTCCAACCCTCCCTCCTGACCAAGGCTCACTAAGCCGCTTATCTTTCCTGGACACTTTTTAGTCTCCCTCTAAATTCATTAACCCCCATCTCTCCCTCTTCTCCCCCCTCCTCTCCCCCTTCACTCCCTCTCCCCCTCTCTCCCCCTCTTCCCCCCCAGCAGAAGCGTATGGATGAGAGCTTAGCTTTGTTCTACACCACCATCCACTCCCCTTGGTTCCTCAACACCTCTATCATCCTCTTCCTCAACAAGACAGACATCCTGGCTGATAAGATCCAGGCGTCCGACCTGCAGAAGTACTTCCCAGGGTTCACAGGTAGCTCTACACACACACACAGACACACTCAGATACACATACACACACTCTCACACACACTCTCTCACACACACACACACATCCCCTCACATTGAGCTGGTAGATAATAAGCAGTGTGGATGTAAACTTATCGAGCCACATTCTTTGGTGTTTCATTTTTCTTTCTCAAACCGTTAGAGATGTAGCTAACTGTGCTTCTGGCTGGAATAACAAAGACCTTATTTTAGAAAGTCATTTCAAACCTAGTGATATTTCCATTTCTCAGGGTGAGTTCTCACATGAATACATAACCATGCTGGCTATAGCAAAACCAGTAAACATAATGTTTTTTGAGTACCATTTATTCTTGTTTCAGCAAGGGTTGAATGTGTGATTGTTTTCATATTACTTCCAGGTGTATGGCGTGGGTACATAGTTTATGTTTAATGTGGTCCTGTGTGGATCAGGTGATATCTCAAAGCACCTGTACTAAAGTGGCTAACAATGTGCCTCCACTGATGTGGAAGGAAGGTAGCAGAGCCTCTCTGCCTATACCTCAGCTCCGCTCACCCTCTCCCCCGGCCTGTTGCCCATGGCAACCATAAATACCCTGCTCTTTGCATCATTAAGCTATCACTCCAGGCGTCTGTGGCGGGGGGTTGCGGAGACGTTGTTCTTTCCTTCATAAAGTCTGAAATTATTAGTATAGATTCATTCATATTGGCTGTTCGATGTACAGTTGCCATTTAAATGTTTTGTACTAAATGGTAACATTGTGTGATGGCTGCATTATTACATGAAAATCATTCAATATGTTCTATCTTGGGATTTTATCCTTTGCTTGTAATTTTTGTTTCTAATGGCCTCCCATTTCTCTCTTCCATATTCCCACATCTCCTGACCTTTTCTCTCCCCTCTCTCACTCTCCTCCCTCACTGTGGTTGTCTCCATCTCTTTCCTGCCCCTTGTCCTCCTCACCCCACACATGTAGGAAAGCGACGTGATGCTCAGGATGCTATGAAGTACATCCAGAAGATGTATGAGCAGCAGGCTCACTGCCGGGACAAGAAGGAAGATAGCAAGACGCTGTACCCCCACTTTACCTGCGCCACCGACACCAACAACATCCGCAAGGTGTTCAGTGACGTCAAGGACACGGTGCTCCTCAAGTCCCTCAAGGAGTATGGGGTGATCTGAGGGCCTGGGGACCCGCCTGCCTATGGGGCCACACTCAACCAACAACCACTCAGGGCAGAAGAGACTCTCCCTCCATCCCTCCCTCGCTCACTTTTCTCCTCTCTCTCAATCTCATCTCCAGTGGGGATGCTCTTGGGTCAAACCTTCTTATTACAGGAAGGAATCTCTCCCTGGAGAGCAGAACAAAATGGAGTGACTCCTATGACTCCTGTAACAGTAACCTGTGTTACACACACACACTCTGGTTGGTATTTTACAATGATGTGTGTAAGGGCTTGGAGATTTAGTGGCTCTACCAGTGATTGAAACTGGAATAGAGATGTCATGAAGTGCTGTGTCTCCATTATGTTAGTGATGACTTTAGCAGGTGGAGAGGAGAACTATATAGCCCCTCTATATCCCTAACACGACCCTGTTCATAGAAAATGCCTCTGATCTGGAGATCACTACAGAAGATTTGACTCTATCTGTGTGTTGAATTAACACTACTGTACACGCGTTGTAGCCATTACATAACACATAGCCAGTTCACACCTATGAGAAGTAGCCACCATTGAAGGCTTGTGCAACATTTTGTGTTTGGTTGGTCTTTTAATTGGTTTGCTTGGTTGACACCTGTATATTTTGTCGCTGGGTCTCAGATGTGAGATGTGATGCAGGCGAGAAATGTGGGAGTCGAGGCGTTTACTATGGCGGTGTCAGAAATCACATGATGTCATAATGGGTTCCCCTGACACAGTATGTTATGTAATGCAATGCTGTACTGTACACTGTTAGGATTCTTGGTTTGGTTCTTGGTGGATGCTTTTGTTTAGTCTCTTCCCCTAATGTGCCTGCCTTACGACCAATCACTACCTGCTATACATTGAGTTCATATGGGAACAACAACGCCGGTGAATCTATACATTAACCAACAAATGAGAGTGCTTAAGAGCAGCAGCCAAGTACGGGGTTATTAATAGCTGGCATGCATGCTGCTGTTAAAGCTGAAATGTATTAAAAGATCTCATTAAATTCCTAGGACCCTATTAGGGCTGCTATTAGGTGGCTGAGAGAGGCCAGTTAAAACGAACGCCTGGCATCGTGGGTGGTTCAAGTCTTGCCACTGTCTTATAGCTCTAAAAATCAACAGCAAAAAGTGTGGTTATGATGTAGTTATGATGTGAATGGTGATAGGCTGCAGCCTACGGTAGGGCTTTGATTTGAGCAGTGGAGTTTTATTATCCTCTCTTCGGGCTGGCATCAAAGGTTACACAGCAAAACAAGGATTCAATCATTGTGTCAAGATTATAAACAACAACTCATTATTCATAGTTGGCTTGACCTTTTACCCTGGTCCCCTATCAATATTTATGTTCAGTCAATATTTAGTTTAGCAGGCTCAGGCTGTGCTCAACTTGTTTCAAGTTCAGTAGCATTTTATATTGGATTTTATATTGTTGTAATTTAAGGGATATGGTCTCTATAAATACGAGTGTAATATCCATCTCAATATGTGTGAGTGGAGCAGGATGGAGTCTGTCTGATAATACAGGTATTAATATTCTGACCTGTGTGCATCACTAGAGCAGATGATGAGTGTGTCAGTGGAAAAGGACTTCAAAGTCAGATTAAAACCTCTTCCATTAAATTGAAGTCAGTAATTACAAATTGCAGGCATGGATCATACAATATGCATCTATTTTATCAAGGTTTGAGAATATTGCTTTGCTACAGTCTGAAGAATGTATACAGTATAAGGACTTGAGCTGTGTTTTCAAACTTTTTACTCAAATTGTTTTTTGGTAAAGGACTCTGGTCTGAATGTGCAACTACTGTTTAGCTATATTCCCCTGCAGAACTGAACATAGGCCCTGCTACCTGATGTTATGAATTATTAATTGAGTTCATCTTCTTTTGTTATATTAGACCACCTCATTAACAGCTAGTGTGACAGAAGGTATTGTACTGTATATATTACAGACTAACATAGGGAGAACTCTTATTTAGTGCAAATATTTTGTATAGATTTGGGCAGAATTTGGGGAAATATTTTCTAATTAAAGTGATGTTTTGAAAAATATTCTGTTTATGTTGTGTGTTTGTGTTTTTCTTCAGGCTATGGTACTCGTTGGAAATATACACTTGTGTAAACATGTGTAGTGCTGCATACTGTAGCTTGTCTTGTTGATATACTCTAGCTTCCTGTCACTCAGCACTCCAAGGAGGAGTGGCTTAGCTTGCCTTGCTTTGGCTGCTGTTTTCATCCTCTCTTCTTCAAATAGTCATATAGGATCTTTAACCTGCCGTTTATCATTTCAATAAACCCCTGTGTGTGCTTAAGGTGCGGCCCGAGAGAGAACCTGTAAGGTCAGGTGTGTGGGTTAACAAACAGACAGCTGACTTTGGCAAAATAACTCAGGAACTCAGCCCTGAAAGCCAGCTTGTCTGTTAGTAAAGGAGGAAATTAGCACGTGTTTTTATGTCTTTTACGGCACACACTGATTGTTGACTTCTTCATACCGTAACCGTATCTGATGTTCTTCAATGTCCCATTGATATTATCTGCTTCTCTCGATGGTTGCTTATTTACTGCAATAGTGCAAGTCTGCCACTAAAACAAAAAGTCACCATGGGTGGATAGGCTTATGACTACTTATGTAACACATTTCAGGGTTTTGATTTGTTATTGTAACAATACTATACAATGTCACAACAATACCATGGTAAATAAGCCTGGGGCACAGATACTGTGTCTATGTACACACATAACCAAATAATGTTTCACTATATACAGTGTATTCGGAAAGTATTCAGACCCCTTGACTTTTTCCACATTTTGTTACGGTACAGCCTTATTCTAAAATTGATTAAATAAATACAAATCCTCATTAATCTGCACAAAGTACCCCATATTGACAAAGCAAAAACAGGTTTTTAGAAATGTTTGCAAAAAAAGAAAAAAAGTATAAGAAGTACCTTGTTTACATAAGTATTCAGACCCTTTGCTATGAGACTCGAAATTGAGCTCAGGCGCATCCTGTTTCCATTGATCATCCATGAGATGTTCCTACAACTTGATTGGAGTCCACCTGGGGTAACTTGAATTGATTAGACATGATTTGGAAAGGCACACACCTGTCTATATATGGTCCCACAGTTGACAGTGCATGTCAGAGCAAAAACCAAGCCATGAGGTCGAAGGAATTGTCCGTAGAGCTCAGAGACAGGATTGTGTCGAGGCACAGATCTGGGGAAGGGTACCAGAAAATGTCTGCAGCATTGAAGGTCCCCAAGAACATAGTGGCCTCCATCATTCTTAAATGGAAGAAGTTTGGAACCACCAAGACTCTTCCTAGAGCTGGCTGCCCGGCCAAACTGAGCAATTGGGGGAGAAGGGCCTTGGTCAGGGAGGTGACCAAGAACCCAATGGTCACTCTGACAGTGCTCCAGAGTTCCTCTGTGGAGATGGGAGAACCTTCCAGAAGGACAACCATCTCTGCAGCACTCCACCAATCAGGCCTTTATGGTAGAGTGGCCAGACGGAAGCCACTCCTCAGTAAAAGGCACATGACAGCCCGCTTGGAGTTTGGCAAAAGGCATCTAAAGACTCTCAGACCATGAGAAACAAGATTATCTGGTCTGATGAAATCAAGATTGAACTCTTTGGCCTGAATGCCAAGCGTCTCGTCTGGAGGAAACCTGGCACCATCCCTACTGTGAAGCATGGTGGTGGTAGCACCATGCTGTGGGGATGTTATTCAGTGGCAGGGACTGAGAGTCTAGTCAGGATCGAGGGAAAGATGAACGGAGCAAAGTACAGAGAGATCCTTGATGAAAACCTGCTCCAGAGCACTCAGGACCTCAGACTGGGGCGAAGGTTCACCTTCCAACAGGACAATGACCCTAAGCACACAGCCAAGACAATGCAGGAGTGGCTTCGGGACAAGTCTCTGAATGTCCATGAGTGGCCCAGCCAGAGCCCGGACCGGAACCCGATCGAACAACTCTGGAGAGACCTGAAAATAGCTGTGCAGCGACGCTCCCCATCCTACCTTACAGAGCTTGAGAGGATCTGCAGAGAAGAATGGGAGAAACTCCCCAAATACAGGTGTGCCAAGCTTGTAGCATCATACCCAATAAGGCTTGAGGCTGTAATCGCTACCAAATGTGCTTCAACAAAGTGCTGAGTAAAGGGTCTGAATACTTATGTAATGCTTTTTTATTAATTTTTTGCTTTGTCATTATGGGGTATTGTGTGTAGATAGATGAGGGAAAAAAACTATTTAATCAATTTTAGAATAAGGCTGTAACGTAACAAAATGTGGAAAAAGTCAAGGGGTCTGAAAACTTTCTGAATGCACTGTATACACACAAGCACATCAGAATCAATACATGTAAAACACACACACTCCGGCAGGTGACGGCGCTGTTACAGGATTGCAGGGAATGTGGGCGTGTGATGCAATGTCCCTGGTGACTGCCATTCTCACTCAGACAAGTTGACATTCTTTCCCACGGCTGGGTGCCCGTTGTATGTGTGTGTCATCCTACCAGAGAGTGACAGTGTGTGTGTTTGTGTTTGTGTGTGTGTGTGTGTGTGTCATCCTCTTAGAGAGTGCGACAGACCTATGGCAACCCTGCTGCCTCAGTCTCACAGCCCTATCAGCACCAGAGAGGTCTCGTTACAGCGTCCCATCACTCAAGCCCTGACACACTGCACGGGCTCTCACTCTCAGCCCTCACTCAACATTATAGTGTTCTTCTTCTAGGTTTATTCATTTCCATTTTCTAAACTTTTGATTCCAAAAACACATTTACATTTTTCCAGCATTCTGTCAGGACATTAAGATTGACTAAATGTTATCAGAAAGCTACTGCTTTGATAATACAATGTGTTTTACCTTGTGTATTATGCAGTACTTAGAACTTGAACAGAGAACAGAAATGTTCATAATTATATTTGTTTATTGACTCCTTTGTTTGAAAGATGTGTAATTATTTCTTTGGAGGTTCATATATCTCCTGCAGTTCTGCTTGCAAATTGATTTCTCATTAAAAAATTGTATTAGTTCATCTTTCATACATTGCCTATAGCAACACTGATTTGAGCTCGATTTTGGTATAATCATGGCTGCCTGTGCTTTGGTGATTTAAAGAGATTGATTTGTCTACTGTTGCAGTGCAAGCTAGAGTGGGATTGAAAAATATGGGGGATGTGATAGCAGGTGGGATGCACACAGCTATCCAAACTCATAAAGATGGATCTGTTTATTCAAACCTCTCACTGACACACATACGCACATTCATCTGCTCCTGAAATACCACTGCTATATTGATCAATCCCTCCTGGAGCCAGAACTAAGCACACACCATGGCACATCCATCTCCTTGCTCCCCTGTGTGTTGATAAAGGGCTTGTGTCAGGACTCCCCTCATGTTTTTCATCCCCAGCTGCACAGAACACGCTTCTAGAACACAGGTAGCTTTGTTATGTGTTGTGGAGGTGGAGGAGATGAGGCCGTAGCTCTGGCTGTTTGCTGTGTGGGTGTCTGTCTGTCTGTGTGTGTGTGTGTGTGTGTGTGTGTGTGTGTGTGTGTGTGTGTGTGTGTGTGTGTGTGTGTGTGTGTGTGTGTGTGTGTGTGTGTGTGTGTGTGTGTGTGTGTGTGTGTGTGTGTGTGTGTGTGTGTGTGTGTGTGTGTGTGTGTGTGTGTGTGTGTGTGTGTGTGTGTGTGTGTGTGTGTGTGTGTGTGTGTGTGTGTGTGTGTGTGTGTGTGTGTGTGTGTGCTGCTGTGGACTGGACTAGCTGATAAGAAACAGTCAAAGCCTCCCATTTTAATTAACGTCCCTCAAAGCAGATACACACCAGGTGCAACAGCTCTGAGGCATGAACACATACACAATACAAACACATAGACACATATGGATTCACTATATAAATAACAGATCAATCAGCTTAATGAACATTAATCTCCAAGAAATAGTATATCCTTTCAAATATTCTTCTTGCTTATTGATGGGAATAGAATTCTGAGACTGAAAGATTGCAATTTGTAGACATTGTAAATATTCTCCATTCACCCCCCAAAATAGCATTTCAAACTACTTTCACAGAGCGAAGCAAAGAAGCCTTTCCTCCACAGGTCTTTTTTCAATCATTTTCAGTAAATGGGAATAAGAGAAAATGGTTATCAACACCAAAATGTAATCAATTTGTCAGCATGGAATCAGCACTGTGTTGTTTCCTAAAACAGCACTAGCCTTGGCTGTGCCAGCTGGCCTGGGCTTTTGTGCCGGGGTTTACCCGTCACAGAGACAAAAGCTGGCCTGCAGTGCTAGGGGGAGTGGGAAGAAAACCCATCTGAATGCCCTGCATCGATAATCGACCAGCAACAGCCCAACCTTTGCTTGACTAGGAGTGTACCCCACGCAAAAGAAAGGCTGTGGGCCAATAACCAATAACTGGCTCAGCGTGTGGGCAGGAACAAAACCCCACAGAAACACTATCTTTAGAAAGGCTTCTCTTCTAATCGTTCCCATAAAGTCTTCCTAGACCTTGTCCATCTGCTAATATCCCCTTCTTTGTTTCTTCTTCATTCTCCTTATTTGAGCAAAAAATCAGGTGATTTTGTTTTGTTGTGGTGCTTTTTCACCCCTCTGCTCTGCACCATAAGTTGAAACGGCATTAATTAAATAGAGAGAAAGTGCTGTGGGCCATGGTTTATTTATATGGAGGAATAGCGGTTCGAACACAAATGAATTGCAGCATCTGGTCCCCTTTTGCCCCTCTGTGACTGATCCTCTGAGCAGGTGTCTATACTACTGCCGTGCAGACAGGCCATTAAGCACTATGTCCTGGCCCTGTCCTGGGGAGGCACACTGTTTCCATTGCAGCAGAGTGTCTGTTCCCACCACACCACAGCCTTTAAGGCAGCAGCTCTGCTCTAATATCTCTGTCTGGTCCCAGGCCTGTGGATCACCACATCAGGACACCTCCAGTCAGCAAACAGTATATGATTCGAGATTAAACATTTAAAAGAAAAGAAGGATTGCTTTATACTATTCCAGGTATTCCTTAAAGAG